AGACTAAACAAAAATTAAAATAATTACATAGAAAATAAAACAACATATTTTGAAATATTCTCTTAAAGAATAGACCTACTCTTGGTAGATCATAATCTGGTTCATCTCTTGCAACTTGACGACTTCGTTTAGTTTCGTTATGTGCTTCATTACGAAATTGATCTAAGAATGAACCAACATCACCAATACCAACATCTTCAAGCATACGATTGAATGTACCATCATTTAAATGTTCTTCACCAAAATCAGCTAAATTCATTATATTAGATTAATCTAAAAATTAGAAAATGTTTGAAAATAAAAATAACAAAAATTAATTTATGAAGGTTTCTTCGTTGTTATTATTTATTCGAGTAATGCACATATGAAGAATGAAGAAAAAAAATGAATCGTAAGGTTATAGTTAGTATATATATATATCACCATCGATGCACATCATTGAATCATACACATTAAGTATGAAACGATTTGTTATTTTTTTTTTGTCAAGTCTATGATAAATTATCATCGTTAAAAAATCAACACAGAAAAATGCATAAATAAGAACGAGAGAATAACAAAATAATTTTAAATGAAAATGAAGAGTAGTTTATTATGTTTTGGTTTGTTTATATGATTGTATTTCTATTTATGCTCTTGAATAATAAGCTATGAATAATCATATGTAATCAATATATTAGAGAATATGTGTCTTAACTCTTACATATAATCTTTTTCTTATATAATAATCAGCGATAAGAAAGTGTGTCTTAATCTCTAGTGAGCAAAATGAAAAGTCAGATTTTTATTATTATTTGTGTGTAAAGATGGTAATATGAGTTTTTATGTTGATAATTGTTTCGAACAATTTCATCATTTATTAGATTTTTCTGCATTAACTTCGCTTATCATAGGTAATTGAATTGTTTTTTATTTTACTTCTTGAATGTGTATTTTGTTACAGTTATTTCAAGATTTATATCAATGTCTTTTGCAATGGATCTAGATAAAAATATTATAATTTGATAATTTTCAGTTACAATCGATTTTGTAAGTGAAAGTCTAATTTGTTTTTTCGTAAAACGACACAGATCAGTAGTCCAAAGTATAAAATCATTCTTCTAATCTAACATTATATGAGATTTGATCACATAAAGACTAAAATGTTGAATTATGTTCTAAACAATTTCATCAATTGTTCGAATAATCAATAGTATAAAAAATGTTGAATAACTATGTTTAACGAATGCAATTGATTATTAATGATTTGAACAATTTTTTCAAACATTTGAGTCAATTAAAGACTATTTGTACTTTTTTCTATTTCGTTTTTTTTATCATTATCACGTTTTTCTCTAGCCTATCCATGTATAGACAGTCAGGTATTCCAACAAAGAAAACATAAACAAGATTTTCTATCTTTTGATGTTCGATCAACAAGATCTTCATAGAATAAATCAAAATAGCCAACACAGTAAAATTTTATTCAAGAAAATTTTCCAACATGAAAATAATAGATAGATAGCATATTATTTAGTTTTTACTTTAATTAATATTTTAGTATAATGATAAGAAAAATAATAGACGTCCATGGATATAATACTATTGCTTATTCCAAGAAAAGTTAGTTGGACGGATATTTTTTGAATAAATTTTGGTAAAAGCAAGGTAGATAGTTGCAATTTTTGCCGTCGGAAAGAGGAGATCAAGACGCATCGAATGATATATTATAGGCTTTTCAGATATGTTTTCTAAAGATTTCCTAATCAATTTTGTAAAAAAGAAAAAATGGTGGAAACTAGGTTTCTCTCAAAATAAGAAAAACACAAAAAAAGTGATTTTTTTTTTTCACAGTAATTAATAGAAAAATAGGCTAAGAGTTTTGAATAAAATGCTTATAACTCCTGAATGAACGAGTCTAAAGGTCTGCGTCTTGTTCACTTTCATAGATCTTCATTTAGCGGTTCAAATGCACGCTCGATTATTGAAAATTGGCCGTAATCACCTTACGAAGTTTGTTGGTTTTCTAAAACGTCAATTTAAATCCTTGAAAAAACTAGATCAAATTATTCGTAATATTGAGTTCGATACGGCTCCATCTCCACCTTTTAACAGTAAAAATCGTAGCTATCTGTTTTACTTCTATCCAAAGTTATTCAAAAAATATCGATCCACCTTTTTTATTTTGAAATAGACTATGGATGTTTTCGTAATGGAAATGATCTAAATAGTGAATGACAGCACCTAATGTATGCATTAAAATGAAAGACAAGTTCGTTCGAGCTCAACAAGACGACAGTGATAACAGCTACAGACATGCTGCTTTCTGCATGCAGAAGAGAAGAATCTCAATCATCTTCTTATCTGATACTATATAAGACAAACTAAAGCACATACCAAAATCAAAAACTCCTAAAATCAAACATCATTGAATATTTTACGAAGATGATAGATTTTAAAATAATTTTTTCTTGTATAATATTAGACAAAAAGACTCCTGAAGTATTCCTTTCTCGATTAGTGAAACCCATAGATCTTTCGCTGTTGCTATTGTTGAGTTATTAAACTTAGAATCGTCTTTTTTTTTTAATCATGACACGTCTATTACATGTGATGATCATTCATTCTAGAATAATAGATGAAAGCTTCATAAAACTGCAAATATTTACTAGTTCCATTCAAAATATCTTAAACAATATTTTATAGAATCTGGGCATGTGCAAAGAAAAATGTACTTAGTATTTTTCTTTGAATATTTAATGTTAGTAACATGAATCATATGATAAACAAATAGTCATTGATTTGTTCTATTGTTTCGGTGTAATCAGTATTATTAAAAACTAAAATATAGTTATTGTATTTGGATTGTTTAAGAAATTACGAAAGAAAAATTTGTATAAGTAATATATTTTTTTGTTTTAATTTATTACAGAAGAGAATGAATAGTTTAATAATAATGAGTAATCTAACTGAATCTATTGTAAAAAGACTTTTCTTTTCGAAAAAATATACAAATAGTAATTATTTTATTTTGATTATTTTGAAAATTCGTAAATAATTTTGGTGATCATCAATATATTTTAATGAACGTTTTGATATATATGATTTCAATTTTTTAACTTTTGGTCGAAATTTTTTTGGACAATTAAAATAAGCATGAAGATTTTTATGAACATTGTGTGATGCAAAATCTAATAAAAAGATATAAACTTAATAATTAATAAATAGGAAATAATACTAACATTCTTTGCATTCATTTTCTGTTAATGGTGCTATTAAAGAAAAACCATCAATGATCACTATATACATAAGAATCATAAAAATTAACCAAAAATGTATCGACATAATAGTGATAATTTTGATATTCTAATAAATAAATAATTTTATTTTCTTATGTAAAGAATGTTTATTATAATAAATGACAAGAAACAGATAAACGTATTTTTAGATGAATACATTGAATTATATTACCAGAATTAAAAGAATCGTGATATTATCGTTAATGTTTTTGATATAGAGACTGAAAAGATGCAGATTACTGCATTACTTTTATATTCTACGTTAGATTTAATTATGAATGAATGTTTAAGTACCACTATTCTCAATGAACAGTGAAGAGTATGTTAGAAGGACAAAAAAGAATGTACGCATTTGATTTACAGCCTTGTGTAAACTAATTTGTCTTCCATAAAATTATTTTCATACTTAAAGTTCGAGTGTTGTCTGAAATGAAACGTGATAATATGTAATGAGTAATTAAGAAACTAAAGAAACAGTACATTTTTAATTGATTATTAACTTATTTTTAAACACAAACTATTCATTTATGAATTTATTACAAATTGAAACACATAGAAGAAAAATGATTACAAAGTTTATGATAAATTTAAAATTTTTGTTTGATATACGAATCTGATGAAATACAGCAAACAAAATGAAATTAGTTTTTTTCATTTATTCATAATTTTATATTAGATCTCTTGTAAATTTGATAAAACAAAAGATTATTCATTAATTTTACTATCATGTATTTTATTCTAAATTTTCAAGTGCATTTATAAGAATGTTAAACAGTTATTCTCAATATTCTAATCTTTATCATTTTCCATATATTTAGTGCTATTTTTTCTTTTTATTTTGTATGCATTGAACGCCATATTATTTCCAGTTGTATAGCTTTCCATTGTTGAGTGCAAAAAAAGAAAATTTTCAATTGAGTTTCTAAGGAAAAAATACTGATAAAACAATTGAAAAAATGTTGTTTATATATGCACTGAGGATTTTTCTCTTCAATTCATTTATTTATGAAATAGTGATACCTATGAATACAGATGAACACCATGCAACACTGCTATATATATATAAAGGAATAATTATTGATTAAAAAACCATTTTCTTTTTGTCATAATCTTCATCATTAACAAGTAAAAGATGTCTCTCTATATGAGATGTTTCTTTTTTGCTTTCATTAACCATTTTTTAGGACAACTAAATAAAGCTTGAAGATTTTTATAAATATCAGTCGATGCATAATCTAAGATAAATATAATTAATTAATCATGAACAAATTTAACTATTATATTGTTTTCAACTTACAAGCTAAACATTCACGTCCAGTTAATGTTCCTGCATAATGAATACTATAAACAGGTAGAATAACCAACATTAGAATAAGAATAAAATAAAATCGTTGTGATACCATGATTATAATTATTTAATCTAAAAATATGTTTATAAAATAATCTTATTATACTTTCATAGATGTAGAAACAAGAAGTATGTAAGCGTATGTTTACGCTTATATAGTAGATAAAAAGAATAATTATAAGAATAGACATATTTTTGAATTGACATTAAACGGAAAACTATTATTTATGTCTGTAATAAACTACTTAAATACGACTGAATTAATTATGTAGATAAAAATAACTATTCAACAGGGAATATATTATCAAGAAGATGAGGTAAAAGAAACGTTTAACTATTTAAATATATGATTTTAAGAAACTCAAAAATTTAATATATATTTTAATGATATCATCGATGAATTTATAGAATACCTTTTCTTTACTAAATTTCTTAAAATTCAACAGAATACAAACATTTCTGAATGTAGCGAAAAATGAAACATATGTAATCCATTAGCATATTTCAATGTGGAATATAATCGAATAATTAATATGTTTTATTGTAATATTCACGCGAAATACATTTATCTATGTTTTAATACTATTTTTCAAATTATTGAAATATGATTCAATAGTTTTTTCCTATTATAACTTAACACTAAAATTTTCATATAAATATTAATTCATACTATTTTGTAGAGAATGTTCTGTTTCTATCTTGACCTACTAAATAGAAAAATACAAAACATGACATAATGATCTAGTGTTATAGCTCAAAAAGAGTACGAGCTTACATTTAATCTTTACTTTTTGAATATTAAAAAAAGTACTTCAGTTAAAAACCCATCATCTCAAAATAATTATCGACATAAAATTTTGTTGCACGTAATATAGACACTAGAAAAGAACATATTATTGCACTAGACATTTTCTCTAGAAACCGTAAGACAGCAACTGATGAACTTGTGCATGATATGAGAAATGTGACACAATGCTCAAGGCTGTTTTGACATACAAAAGAATACTTATTTGATATTCAAAATTAAACAAATTTTGTATCAATATTATTTTTGATAGGGCTTATAAGAGGATTGGTTTGATGTCAATGTTTTGATGCCTATAGATATATTACAGTGTTCTAATAAAAACTCTAAAAAGATTTTCACTGAACAAACTCTCTTCAAGACATGAAGCTTTCAAGATAGAGATCTTTTTGTATGGATCGTGTGTACAACATGTTTTTTTGTTTTTGAAAGTGGCACGTCTCGAAGAGACTTTTTTGAAAACTACTGAGTTTTTTTTTAATGGAATCTAATCTAGTTGAGTTCTCTATATGCACAAAGTCTTAAATTAAAATGCAAAAATACAATTTTTTCGCAAAAACTAGGTCCTCTAGAACAACTCAATAGATTAGTTAAATCTAAATTTTGTTAAGGATTATTTGTAAATATACTATGTAGTATCTATAGAAAAAAATCTTTCAAATTGAACGAAGTAATTCTACACGTTCCTTTGTCATTCGAATCTACGAAATTTACACTTTGTACTATTCCTCGATGAATATTTTATGACGCATTTCTTCATCATCCTTCTCCAGAAATGCACTTAGGAACTAATTCATACATCACAGGGAGACTTTATTGATATACGGTCTGTGATCGTATATTAACCCACATCCTTATAGTCTGCATGAGGGGTGAGTTCAAATTTTCACTCCTACACTTCTATATTCCTTATGGATTTTATTTTACAAAACGTATAAGATCTTAATAATTTAACCTACTTAAACGAAACTTATTCAGTTATATATGAGTGATAAAATTTATTTCCATTTGATGATAATTCTGAAATATTACTGATTGTTGCAAAAGTTTCAAGAATATTTCTGTTTTCAATAACAATTATTAATATGTCTTCACTAGAAGGCGAAAACGTTATTGATATTTACAAGAACCAAGTAAAATTACAGTCTTCAATTGATCACTATAGATGGATTCACATTGTTTTTAATAATGATCTTAAAAATTATGCTAATTCTTTAATGATAAATGATTAAATCTTCGAATGTATAATCTTGGTAAATGAATAAATAAATTCATAAATTGATTTTTTTTTTTACTGATAATAGAAGATACCAAAGTTTCGCATTAATTTTGTTTTTGGCATAGTATAATCATGAAATGTCATAGAGACTGTATCATTTATTTTTTATGTAGTGGCATTATAGTAGGGACGATTCTGTGAGGATGTAGAATTGTCATGATCATAGAACGTGCTTTGAAGTTCATTAAAGATACAATTAGCTTATTTTTAAGACTTTTCTGGTAGAAGAAACCGAGAAAAATCTTTCGGAAAGGAGGGCAATAGTCCCCAACATTTCCTTCGCTAAATCTGCTACTGTTCTTGTGTTTGAAATAGTAAAATGTCTAGCATAAAAAATATATACAAAAATTTAATCAGAAACATATTTTAAAGAACAGAAAAATTTTAGAACTACAAATCATCTGGGAATCCATCGGCAACTTTAATCATGAGTTTTTTTTCCACTCAAACATACTTAGGTGATGTTTTTCATTACCAATTATTGATATTGTTGAGCATTTTTGATGTATTGTTGTATTGAGTTGTTCATCATAATGAAAATTTCTTTTTTTTTTTTTTATAATATTAAAATATTTAGTCTAGTGCAAATAATAGTGAATAATAAAAAATTTAATTAGAAAAAGCTATGAGCGCAATTCCTAAGGAACTAAAATGTGAAAGACTATGCAACTATTCTTGCTAATCACCAGATGATCATTTCATTCCATCTACTTTCGGACATATTTCTTCACTATCTTTCTGTAGACATGCAATTAGAAAGATATTTATATATTTTTTTTTTAGATTATTCTATAATTTTATTTGTGACATCCATACATTTTTTTGTGATTTTTGTATCATTTTTTCGAACGTTTACGAAAGATAGGACTCAAAAGACAAGATAATGATAATATACAGAGAAAGATTTACAAGCCGGAATGGGGTAGTGGTTCTATGCATCTGATTGTTAGTCAGACATGTTCGATCTCTTCCCCCGGCACAGTGTCAAGATATACGGTATCTGAAGAATAAATAAAAGGAAGAACAGCAATGTACGCCAACCTCGTCATCACTACCTCGATTTCGATTTTCGTTAACGTTCACAAAAATTATATAAAAATCACAAAAAAAATGTATGGATGTCACGAATAAAATTCAGTATAATTAAAAAAACAAAAGAATTACGAGGAAAAGGAAATGAACAAAATGAAATGGAAGCAGTGATGACGAGATTGACGCGTATTGTTTTCTCGTCTTTTTTTGTTCATTCTACAATGATTGTACATCTTAAAATCGAAGATACAGTAGTTCATATATTATGGCGAAACATTATTAATATACATGTCTATCGGAGGGTCGAAATATTTATTTTTACACTTCAATTCTTCTTTTAGATCGTGTTTTACAATAATTATTTCAGTGATTACAAAAATAAGGCTAGTATTTATTTGAGCAATAAAAATACTGAAATGAGCAACAATTAAAATATAATTTAGAAATAATTTTTAAGCAATAAAAAAACTTCATTTGAGTAATTGTATATTATTAAATGTACTATAATTAATACATTAAGTAGCAATAGTAATTTCTAATTTTAGCAATAAAACAAAGAAAAACTACATTATTTTATATAAATTAGAGAGATAAAAAAGTCATTTACAATTGAAAAAAAAAACAAAAGAAAAATAAAAAAACAGTATATTATTATGTGAATAGAGTTTCTTTGCTTTAGATGGTCTGCCTCTTTTTCTTTTTATATTTTATTTTGCAAGAATTGAAAAACTACGTATTTGTGTATATAAATGAATTCCTATTGTCCTTTATTAGCGGATGATTGATCTAACAGATCAATACTGAACTACTCTTTATTTGAGAAATGGTAACTATATATATACGAATGAGTTAGGAAAAAGTTTAACACTCTAGAAAGAAAACATAACGAAGAAGGGAGTATACCTGAACAATATCAAGAGAAGAGAAATATTCAAGTGAGGGAAAGAAAAAAAAAGATATATAAGCGAATCACACTATAACACCCTTTTTATATAAAATCTATCTTATATAAAATTTACTTTTAATTTAAATAAATTATTGCTCATTTAAATTATTTTATTACTCAATTAAATATAAGTCAGTATATTTTACCTTCGTAAGACTATGATGATATTCAGTGCTTAGTTGTGACTACATATTTGTAAAGAACATTAACAATTATCTGAAATAAGAGTTTTACAAAAATTTTTACAAACATATTTTTGAGTTAAGTAGTGATTTAAATTCTTCATACAAACTTTTCTAAGCAGCTTAATATGATATCCTCGATTATATTTAAAATGCCACTGATATCGCACGTGGAAAGGAAAAAGTTTATAAGGCTCTTATTATAGATAACTGTCAATCTTCTTTACAAACTTGTGATCACAACTAAGCACTGAGCATCAGCATATCCTCATGAAGATGAGATATAATTATGTGTTCAATTAAAATTTACACGTTTACATAAAAACTGGATATCATTGTAGCAAGAAGAGAGCAAACGGACAGTGAAACTATGATCACTACCAGTGACATTTATTTCAATCTTTCTTGACTTGAATACATGAAACAACGAAGTGAAGAGAAAACTAGCGTTTTATGCTGAATTTTGATATTAGCGATTTTCGACAGTGTTTCAACTCTGTGAAAGCAATGTCTGTCTTCACAACTTATAATTTCTCTGTGAAAAAAATACATCTAAACAGCCGAAAATTCTATATCATATCTCAATGAATATATTCTTAGATAAATATGTAAGTTAAGGAAAGCTCAATTGCAGCTATTCGACTGTCTGAAACTAGTTTGAAATGTCGGAATAATTTTCTTCTTCTATAAATGAAGTATACAAAACAAGATCTTATGGCTTTCAGAATAACTATGTGTTAGCACTATAGCTTGGCATGACATTCGGATCGTGATGACAGGAAAAAGGTTGTTGAATAATAGCCTATGTTAC